ACAGGAGCACACATTGCGATAACTGCAGTGCCGAGAATGATTGGAGTTAAGGGCCTTGAGAAAAGGGCCCAACAGTGTAATCATTCCGCCAAACCAGGGATTTGAACCTGCGGCCTTTAGATCACGAGCATAGAGTCCGAAGCCACTGAGCCACACACCAGCATATACCAAAACATGGAGACCCAACACAGTAAAGAGGAGCTGTGTCGCTACTGCTTATCTGAGCCCATGACCTGTTCTGGGGTCAGTTTACGTGTGACTGTGTTCTCCCAGCAGAGCAGCCGCTGGCTTGGCTGTTTTCTCTCCTCTGCTGCCGTGCGTTTATGTGAAGAGTCTGTGTCAGCAGCTCCCCTTCTTAAGTAGTTTTAATTAAGCGGCGCTAATTAAGGAGCGATTTGATTATCCCCAGACGCCACAAGAGAGGATGACCGGAGAGCAATATTATAAGTCCCGGAAAATGAATGCGGTCTTAATCACCGGCAGCAATTAGCAATGACAGGGAAGGCTTAAATGAAAAGCAGCTTTTTTTGTGTGTGGGGGGCCATTGTTGGAGATGAAACAAAGGAATGATTGTTGTGGCAGAGGAGAAAACAAACACACTGGAACAAACAAAATGTGCTTTAGCTATGAAGGCACAGGGGGCTGAAGGCTGGTACCTACACACATACACCCAGTGTCCAAACAGATATCCAGTGTGGGGGGCCTGGTACCTGCACACATACACCCAGTGTCCAAACAGATATCCAGTGTGGGGGGCTGGTACCTACACACATACACCCAGTGTCCAAACAGATATCCAGTGAGGGGGGCTGGTACCTGCGCACATACACCCATTTTCCAAACAGACATCCAGTGCGGGGGGCTGGAACCTGCCCCAAGGAGCACAGGACAGGAGGGAGGGCACACACACACACACACACACACACACACACACACACAGGTGACCTCTACTTGCCATACTGCATGTCTGAAGGAGGTAACCAGAGTTTGTAGTATCTGAACACAGGGCATACAATGCAAACTGCACACAGTCACATCCAGTGGGACTGGGAGTTGAACCCAAAACCCTGCCAGCGATGTCCTTCCTGTCCATATCCACAGCAGCAATGTGTAGCAGCACTAAAATCACAATATTCTGACTTTTGCCAGCTAATGTTAACGTTATGTGTTAACCGCGAAACGATTGTGAAACGAAAGAAAAGACTAAATAAAACGTCTTGAACAGGAAACTTGCCTAAGATGACCGGTTTCTTCACCACAAACAATGAAACGCCTGATGAGAATGCAGTGAACTTCACAAACACAGACGACAGAGACCACAAAGTCACAAAAACCCCCGGCATATACAGTATATAGCCCCTCCCCAGGTTACGATGGGGTTACAATACGATAAGTCTATTTTAAGGCGAAAATATCGTAAGGCGAAAATGCATTTTAATACAATACACCTAATCTAACAAACATCATAGCCTAGCCTACCTTAAACATGCTTAGAACACTTAAAAATCATTAACACAAAGCCTAAATATTACAAAAAAAAGTGGTGAATATCTCATGTAATTTACTGAATTATGTACAGAAAGTGAAAAACATTTAAATATCACAAAACGGGCCTCGTAACCCAGGGAGTGTCTGTATTTGGATCATACTACCTTAGTAAATATTTCTACATTTTTAAAGAACTGTTGTTGCCTTGGCATCTGGTTCGTTATGTGACTGAGCTGAACCATTCCATGACAAGGTGAACGTAACTATGTTTACGCTAAGAGACCCATCAAAGCTCAGATTTCCCGGTACCTCTCTGGTTCTTTTGTGGGGTCCTGACCTCTGTCGGTAGCTGAGGCAGGCTTCCCGGTGACCGGGGCCGCTCGCTCACTCGCTCGCTCGCACACAAAGGGAAAATAACATTAGAGGAAGGAGACGACCTTGAGAATAAACGCACAGCGACGGGGTGAGTCGTCAAAAAGCCGCAGGGCCGGGAAGGAACAGTGTAGCATTCATAACGCCGCCCGGCACGAATGGATGGCGAGGAACCGGCTTTGCTGCCATGTCGTTGGCAGACATGCGGGACATTTCCTGTATCCCTGTTTCCTCCCCGGAGCCCCCAGAGAAAACAAAATACCAGACAGTGGAAGAAGAAGTGGCAGAGAAGCCGTCTGCGGCATGTTTGCTTAAATGATTTGTTGCTGGGATTTTAAAAACGGTTCGTCACATGTGGCTACTGTGGGAACAAAATAGTTTTTTTATACATCTGGCACTTCCTGGACAAGGTGCAAACCCCGGAATGTTGGATGCATGGAGCGATATGGCTCACGGCTGCCATTCAGAGCTGGAAATGGGATTTGGGCAAAATCGGCTCTCGGGGCGAACCTGACCCCTCTTGACCCCTGGAGACTGATCACATGACAACCAAACGTATCAGTGATGATAAGCATTTAATACTGTTTCAATATGTACTAGGGAATAATTAGTACCATGTGGATGGATATCAGAGTCACACTAATAATTCAACAGAATGCAATGTCTTTTTATTGATTTACTGAGAGACACTTTTGATGTAACTGACCTTCTTTCATACAAAGGCTCAATCTCTCTGTATACTTGCCATTCTCTTGTCACAGGCCTGAAGTGTAATTTCCTCTGTATGTGTGTTTAGAAGTGGAGCCAAAACATACGTGTCCCCCTTCAAACCCGATCCTCCCCCACCTCTGCGGGGCTTGTGTTGGGGGGGGGGGTGGGGAGGGGGTGATGTGGGGAGCTGAGCAGAGATGGAAACTGTGAGAAAGCGGGGCTCCAGCACCTCATCTGTTCGGCCTGGACATTGTTCACTCGATTCCGTGATCTTGGAGAGCATCTCTGTGTGGGTTTCCTGCAGATCCCTCTGGCCTCCTGCTTGGGTGTGGTCACTATCTGAAGCTGAATTGAAGGGAGGGAGCGTGAGTCTGCAGCCTTCTCGTCGGGTGTTAGGACGCTTTTACCACGGTTGTTACCTGAGCTAAACTTCAGTGAATTACGCCATATGCTTCTCTAGGTGTGGCCCAGATCATGGGCACCCTGTGACACAGAGGGTTACTCCAGAAGAATGAATGGATGGATGGATGGATGGATGGAAGAGATTTGGTCCATTTGCTGAAACCTCAATTGGTAGACCCTCACTTTCACCACAGTAGAACGTTCTAGATATTGTTGAGGGTCCCACCATCTCTCCAGCCCTGGGCTTTGGACTCTGGAGCTCCTGTGATGCATTCCTGACCTCACAATGGTGCTTTTCACCACCCGTGTCTGGGATCTAATTAGTGTCCTGATACGATACACCTTCCATTTCTTAATTAATGAGCAAATTGTAGTCATAAGGACATTCAGTTTGTGGCATGTTTTCTAAACCACCCTGACCTGTTCTTACCAAACGCTTAATCCCTGATTTTGAAAGCTCCTTCAGCACAGTGCTCTGGCTTTTCCTTGAAATTCATTACCTAAGGAGTACAAGATGCAGCTTTAAAAATCATGGTTACCACACGCAAGAGGCTGAGCTAATCTGTCACCGATATCGTTCTCGTAATCGTGTGGGGCTGAATAGACGCTCTCAGCGCTACGAAAACATTGCCGCTTTTGTCGTGACACCGCTGTGCTCATTCAACCAATTTCATTAACCGAATTTAAAGTAGTAATGAATTATAGCTCATCTGCCGCCTTTTCTGAGCAAGCAAGGTGAGTTTTTCGTGCAAAAACACGATGCGAGGCCCATTTTACAAGCTGCTTTACAGATTCTGCCAACAGCTGAAAGCTGTAAACAGCACGTGAAGACTTCGGGCCTACAGCAAGCGACCCAGACTGACAGCCAACGTAAACAGCCGTAAACACTTTGACGGCGGCGTAGAGCATATGCTCCTTGCACGTCGCGCTCTCCCATCCCAGGGCTTCCGCGCTGCTTCTAGAACCTTCATTAGCCGAAGTCTTGTCAACCGCTGTGCCAATTTGGAGCCCATTAAATTCCCATTGATGACACTCAAAATTAGCACTAACTATATGATGGGATGAATTACAGGAGGTGAGAGTGACTCGAGTGCTAGGATCTATAAAAAAACTCTCATGGGGGGTGGTGGGGGGGGGCAGATTTAGCACAAGATAGCTGACAGAAAAGGACTTCCTGTAGCAGGTAACATTCACGGCTTATTACACATTTCAAAGGTTTCAGATGAGTCGGATATGTCATTTCAAATGAGTCTGGGTTTATGCCTTATTCTCAGACCACTCTAGTGCATATACAAAGCGAATCAGGGACATTTTATGTAAATGGAGAAAGGAGCAATAGGTTGTGTAGTGGCTCAGGATGTGGGATCTTCCCTCAGGGTCTGTTTGAAACCCCTGGTAGGACCTGATTGTAATACCATTGAGCGGGGAGCTTAATCTGATTTGATCCAGGGAAACGTGCCCTTTCAAGAGGCTCTGGGAAGAGACATCTGTAATGGAATTAGCATGTGTGATTCCTGGGGAGTGACGTCTGGGATGGGTCGTGCCCACTACAAATCTGTACTTGACAAGTTATAGGAGATGGATGGATTGATGGATGGAAACAGCATGTATATTGCATTTTCTGCAAAAGTTAACTTTTTTTTGCTAACAAATAAATTGATGACATAAACACTCATACCTACTGTTAAACTCAGGTTTCACTGCACGGAACATGGTGGATCAAAAACCGATCATTGATGAAGCTGGTTTGTCCCTGTGCTGGAGCCACAGAGTAAGAGAGTGACCCGGACACGGAGAGCCACGTTGGACGTACAGTATAGAAGAACACGGAAAAGCCTGGCAGATGTTCTGATCCATTTATTGATTGACAAGATGGTCCTTCTTAAATACAATGCAATGAGACAATGGGGATCAGCACAGTGGACGAAAAGAACCGTGAAAGCCATTTTTAGACACTCCCCACATCAAAAGGAACAAAACATTGAGACGGTGAAAACATTTACGTGTCTGGAGGGGGGGGGGGGGGGGTGGGGGCGGGGCTCTCTCTTCGCCAGAATGATAAAAGGAAACCAATAGCATGCACTCTCCAAAAAAAACACGGACACAGTCCAGCGCATTTCCAAGATACATCAGTAACTGTAAACATTAAAACACTTTTTTTTAAAGATATACGTTCTTCGTCCAGCCAACAGACCTTCACAGGTATCTCTGGCTGCCCCATCTCATTACCTACAACGGATCCCCACTATAGGTGGTGACCCTGTATCCGGACCCTCGGGAAGCTACGAGGACTCGACTCGCTCGGTCTGATGACACTCGGTGTTCGAAAGGAAAACATTAGCGCAGAAAAGGGGAAAGTGATCGAACCCAGAACTGGCTGAAAATTGCTAAAAAGGCCATTTTGCATTGTTGCCATGAAGATATTATGAGAGGAGCAGACTGACCTGGGGGGGGGTCCTTGTCGTTCTGGTCTTACTGTAGGGTCCAAACTGATCTGTGTTAGCTACTGGTGCTAATTACTTACAGTACTATTGGTATTGATCCATACCTTGCAGGCTAAGCACATGGGGGGGCTTGTCTGGTGAGGATGGGGACCACATCCAACCAAGCTCCAACCAAGTAAGGGCCGGGTCCCTAGTGGCCAGGTACGGAACAGTCCCGCTGAGGTAACCCCCCGTGAAACATGGCCAAGGCGATGGCAAGGTTTGCATAAGGCTCCGGTGGCTCCTCCCTAACCATAGTCAACAACACTGGACATTTCCTGTTATGTACAAAGGGAGGCGCCACATCGCCATCTTACATTTGGCCAGAGAAAACAAAAAAAATCTTCAAATATTTCAGACCTCAAAGTAGCAAGTCTTTGTTCCTGAAAATACTGCATAAGTCTGTATATCAAAGAACAGTATCTACACTATATACTGTGTCTAGAATATTCCAAAAAAAAAAAAGTCGTTTTGAAGCAAACGTCCTTTATTAAATGAATTAGGCGGGGCACCTGTTTGCCTTAAAACCCAAAGACACCCCTCCCGTGATGTAGGGCAGGGAGTTTATGTCTTAGAGCTGAGGGCTCCTAGCCAGCAGATAAAGCAGTTATATATTAAATGGCAATAAATATGATCTCCTTAACGGTTCACGACCACTACAGTACATTTATATTATACATTAATAACGCGGAAAGTTCCACAGCATTTCGAGTCGTCGGCTGACGGATTTCGCTCAAGTCTTTTCCCACCAAAGGTCAGGAGTCTGGATCGTACATATAGCTGCTAACGAAGTATTTTAACTTTGCACAAAGAAAAAAAAACGGAATATCGTAACCAGGCGCTTGTTTTAGCGACATGGGGGCGTGGCCAAGGGCTTCTCGCGTGATGATCTGTGTAGAAGGTTCCTCCTCTGTCAGAACCACCAACGTGCACCAGTTGAATCATGAGGCTCCTTTATTGTAGCTTTATTACAGTGGGGGCTCTCCTGCTGTGGTAGGCCTATTTCACAGGCTTTGTACTGCGAGGCCTCGGTCATTTTCTCGTCCTTTGTGTAGTCATTTCAGAGCCCCTGTTGAAGTAATTTGTGAAAAGAGGACTTCTCAGTCCTATGATGATTGGCGCAGAGACTACAGCTGGATTTAATTTCCGTATTTATCCTTCAACCTTGCATTTGTAATAACAATGTAATATAGTCAGACGGACAGAGATATGATATCCTGGCGTTCATCTGGAAAATTCCCGCAAATGCGACTGTGAACTTCACTGGTAGCGATCGATATATTCTGTGTTTACGCTCAGCTTATCCATCCTCCTCCCTGGCTGACCCAATACCGGCGAAATCTATAAACGGACGCCTATTCATCAAGGGACAAACAGAAACAGGGGATATGAATGCCAGTTATGGACAAATAAACCAAGCAGTGTGTGTGTGTGTGTGTGTGTGTGTGTGTGTGTGTGTCTGAGAGAGAGAAAGAGAGAGAAAACACGATGTAATCTGTAATTAAGGCGGTTTAAAAAAATATTGCAGAGAAATTTTGGCCCCTGTTTTGACACAGACTGCCACAACAGTCAAAGTCTTAGTCCCCAGCAAAGTGAGGATTTGAGAGGCAGAGAAGCAATGGAAACAACAGAAAAATAAATAAAGGAGCGATTTAACAAAAAAAAAAAAGAAAAACCATCCTCTTTGGACAAAAAAGCTTATTTGGTTTGGGTATTTCTTTTCATCTGAAGTTAAAGGGAATAGTACTTTAACAGAAAAGAAACAGTACAAATAAATTATGTAGAAACAATGGTCAAATGTGATGAGCTTTTAAAGGGTGTATCAGGGACGGGGAAAAGTTATGGTACAAACTTGGCAGCTTCACTCAGCCAAAGTGAGACTGGATCTGATGGAGACTGACGGGGTGCATTGTGGGGAGCGTCCGATCCGAAAACCTTCCTCCCGTCCCACACGGGCACACGGAGCAGATGCGAGGGGGAGGGGCCAACATGGGGGGAGTGGTCAAACACTATCCCTGGGGGGGCGGGGGGCGTCCATGAAGGCCCACTGCCCCTCGGCAAAACGGAAGGGGTTTAGGCTCCGCTCCCATCCCCGCCGACGTCAGCGACAGCCCCCGGGGGGTGGGGGGGGTTCACACCCACTCCTGCATGGAGCGCTTGCAGTACAGTATGTGGCGGGGCGTGCCCTTGCGCTTGAACTGCACCACCGTGTAGAGCAGCACTAGCAGGCAGAGCGCCAACACGCACGGGATCACGATGGCCACCACCTTCACCGTGCCCGCCGCGCTCTCCAGCTTGATCACCACGTCCACGTCGTCCTCCTCCACTGGGGGGCGCCTCTCCCGGTCCCGGCCCACGTCCGGCTCCCGGTCCCGGTCCGTCAAGCCATCGCAGCCCATGAAGTCCTTCAGAATGGAGCGGGGGTATCCCGGCTCAACGCGCAGCTTCTGGTTGTTAAACTTCCAATACTCCTTGTTTTTGTAGAAGTAGGTAAAGCCTGCAGTTGGACAGAAAGAGACTTCCTGTTTCCCTCTGTCTCATCCTCTCAGGACAGGCAAGGCGGTGCAGAACGCCGCCCTCCGTAAACACAAAGGCACAATGCTAACGGAGCAAACTGGCCTGACCCTGTCAGGGCATCCACCCCGCTTCCTGTTTTGATGATCTGTGAGTTTGGTTATTTGCGTGAGTGTTATTGTGTTTGTCGGACGTCCCCCCCAGTTCAGGGAACCACAAACCACAGCTAAGGCCTGGGTTTCTTTGGCTAGGGATGTGCCGGGGATAAGACTGAATGTACCCGCTTGCCTTTTTTGGGGTGATTTGAGGCATTAATGAGTAAGGGAAGCAAGATTACCCCTGGGGACAAATTAGGGAGATTAAATGGTTCTGTGGGTGGGTGTCAATCTGCAGTCTATCACCTGGAGGCTCGAGGTTTCAGTGGGGGAAGCACCATCCAGCTTGCCATGATTTTACAGGAGGGTATAGCAAAAGGGCTTTGTGGACTGGGGGACGCAGAATGGCTTTATGTTGGACGCACCCATTGAGGAAGTGGAACAATGCTACTCAGACCTTTCTGCTATATCCACGGCCTCCACCTCAGCAAGGCGGCCAGACAAACAAAATGGCTTTTCACCAAGAAACAGCACCACCCTCTTTAGGGCTGTGAGAGGGTGTAGGGGCCGGGATACAAAGCACCTGACATGGCTTTTTAGCCATCACTACTGCCCAGGTCCTTAACCCCCTAGCTGCATGCTAACCGTGTGGCACTATTGGTAAAAACAGTAATTAAGGTCAGCGGCATCACCGAGCGGCCGGCCAAGCGGAGCCCGACGAGGCGGCCTGCTTTCCGAACTTTGACGTGTACAGGCAGCCTACGTCTGTCCACCGGCCGGAGCCGGTTCCTGCCGCCCCGAGCAGACCCAGCCCCCCTCCTCTCATGCACCAGATGGCTAGGCGTACAGCCAATCAGAGCGGCTCTTGGGCTTTGAGCCCACCCCCCACCTGTTTGGCCCCGGACCAAGTATCAAAAGGCCCTTGTCTTTTCTCCAAGCAAACCGGCTGCCTGGCCTGCTCTCCCCTGGGGAATTAATTCAGAATCCTGGGTGCCTTTTTAAGTAAAATACATGTTATAGATAATTACGCGGCATATGATCTGTAGTTTCATGATTCGTCAGTTATTAGATTTAATGTTTTTCAGCATGCCTCTCCGAGTCACCTTCCAGATCATCATGCCACTGACAGTAACCACGCCAACACACCGTGTGACACTACACGTGTGAGTCACAGCTCGGGGGGGGGGGGGGGGGGTGTAGCATGTCCTCAAGTGACAACGTGTGACAAAGTGTTGCATGTAGCAAGGCAGCCAGGCTTGGGACATGGCTATCAACCAGACCATGGCTTTAGGACCGGATACACTCTGGGCAAGCAGTTTGACACCAACAAATGCAGGACCACCAGTTTGGGGAGATCAGGGGATCAGGCGTGCTAGCTGGTACTCTGGTCCTCACCCGAGAAGACACTGAAAGACCGACTCCATCTCTCAGGGCCTTACCGTTAGCCTTGTCCACAAATGCCCCCTGGGGAGATGCTGGGACGCCCTTCCATACTGTAATGGGTTTGGGGTATCCCGGGTCCATGGTCCTCATCTCCTCATTGTATCTCCAGTATCTGCACGGTATTAGGGGGGCAAAAATCATCACCCAGGAAGTCATGGGGCGGTGGCTTCAGGGAGCCCGCATGCAGGTGGTGAGGTCATCAGGCACAAGCACTGACACAGCACCACAACACTTGCTTGCCCCCGGGTGTAAACAGTGACATAAGGGCACCGCGGCCGGGCGCCAGAGCAGACCTATCTCCTTTGAAGAAGTAGGTCTTCGCCACGTCCTCCCACCATACGGCTGTCTCAATGTTCTGCGTCGGCATTCCGCTCCCGAACAAGGAGATGTCCTTCGGATAGGTGGGTTGGAGCGTCGTGTCCTTGAAGACCCAGAAGCGGTTCCCTGGGGTGGGAGGGGACAGGAGGAAAAAAAGAGAGAGAGCGTTGACATGGCAAAGCAACCTCTGCTACGGCTAACGAAAGCCGTCCCCCAGAAGCCATCACGACGACCCCCAAGCCGAGGCGGGACCAAGCGGCGGGTGCTAATGCCACATGGAATGCCAGAGGCTCCATGCAGGAAATCTGCATGACATTCGGACCAATGACCCTTCACCCCTTCCCCAGCACAAAACTCATCTCAGCTGTCTATTAGATGAAGCTTTCTGGTACCGCCACGTCTCGCAGGATGGAGATATTTGCATTAATTTACAGGGACTGTCAGTGCTGGGCAGAATAAACATCCAATTTCACACCCCGCGCCGCTGTTTCCATTTCATCATCAAAATAAACCGCCGCCACGGGCCCCGATGGGGCACGGATACTGACGCCATTCAAATTCCAATTTCGGGATGTCACAATATCCGAAGCGTGCTGCTGCCGGATGGCTTGGGCAGAAAGGGGTACTCAATAAAGGCAGCTGGGCGTGTCGCTCAGAGAGGAGCTCTGTCTGCCCACAAAGCCGCTAACAGCCTGCGATGCTAACGGCTTGACTGGAGTTAGACAAGTGCAGGAGGCAGACAGCCATAATTCAGTCTGGGTGAGGATTTACTCACTGGTAGGTAAATTAACAACTCTAAATCTTTCCCCTCTGTTGAGTCCCACCTTGGAAAGCAGATATCCATGGATGCAGTACTCTTCAAGCTCAGCACTCAGTGAGTGAGAGTGCCTCTTGTAGATGCATTTATGCCTTAGTGCCCTTTGCTGGAGCAGTCCTCATTAACACTATTTAACGCAGTAGGTATCTGCTGCCCAAGCTCTTGGTGAGTGTCTGATGATGCTCCGGAGTTCAAACATGCTCCTATTTACACACTGCGTTCCCGTCCTTTCCAGGCAAATTTGGCAAAACCCTTACAGTAACAGGTTCTCCTCTTTAACATGAAGCCCCAGAAAACATCACTGCCTGAAGGGTGATTAAGGTTCCCTCCTAGGTCTACATCCCTCAGGGCTGCTGTCTTACCTTTGAAGAAGACAAACTTGCCCTCGCTGTTCTCATACACGGCGTCGATCTTTGGTGGCAGCCCTCTCCAAAAGTATGAAATCTGCATGGGGTAGCCGGGCATCACAGCATTGTCTCGGACTCGCCAGAACCACTGATCCTGAGGAGAGGAAAGGAGAGGAGAGAGTTTCCTCACTACCGAGACCCTAATATGGTCAAAGTCCAGGCTTCATCATTGTGGGTAAGGAACCAGCAGGGAGCATCTCCAGAAAAACAGCCCAGCCCTCCCTCACCACAGACTATAGTGGACCAGACCACCCGACCACCAGAAGAGACCAAGCCCAAAATTACACTGGTCTGAGCTGCAGTAAATCACCATGGACCACGAGGGGACCCGCGAACGATCTGGTTTTGCATTGTTCTCAAACACAACAGTCTGTGGTTTATGGAACCGCTTCAGGGGAGAAGAAGCAGAAGATAGATTTATGTAGCCCAAGGGTGCAGTTTGATTGCTGTTTCCACAGTGTCGACCAAAGTGTAAGGAAAAGATGTAGAGGCCAGAGGGGCGAGGGGTTCGCAGAGGAATATATCAGGCGCTCTCAGACGTGTTCCTGAATGGCTCCCACACGCGTGTGCCGAATGAGGATCAGCACGAAAGCACCTGTCACGCTCTGCTCTCACAGCTGCCTTCACCTCGGAGGTCCAGGCAAGATTCCCATTTGCACTCTGGGAGCTCGCTGCAGCCACAAGCGTAATTCTCTCCAAAATGTGCTTAAATAGGGTTCATAGGCAGAAAGATGTTGAATCTCGTCAGATCACCATCCAGTCACTCTGACGACCAGCAGGTGACAGTCACACATAAGAATATACAGACTCCTTAATGCATCGTAATTCTAGTTATGATGGACAGGCTCATTAAGTAACAAGTGACGTACAGGAACATTTACTTTTTATTTACTTAGCGGTGCGTTACACGGGCTCACGCACCCAACGGTAATCAATGCATCGAGTTAACGTGTCGTGTTAGAGGGCTAAGAGCAGAAGACGCGCTCAAAGATGCCTTTGCTGACAAGCCGATGGACTTGTCTGCCCTTTTTAGGAGAGTTTCAGGTCGTCATAACTCTGCTTTCCCAGGGGGTGTGGCAGTTACACATACACTGACTTTCAGCCAGGCCGCCTCAGACACACCAGCACCACACCGGGTTTGGTCTTCACATCACAATGGTCAATCGATTGTGCTGGTCCAGCTCTAACCCCATCCAAACGTCCCAGCTGAGGAGTCCTGAAAGGTCGTGGCCTTGTATGCCCCCTGCAACCCCCCCTGCCCGGCAGCGATCTCCTTCTGTGCTGAATATGTGTGTTCCTCGTTCCGCGAGAGCAGGCCAGCTGAAGCCGTGGAAAATGGGGCTTTCGAGTATAAGGTGTGTCCGTCTTACATTTTTTTCCGCTCTCCTTCCTGCAGCCGAGCCCAGAGGCGGGAAAAGTTGGCCAAAACTCACAGGGGACAGGAAGTTCATCTGGGGAAGCCATCGTGGCCCAGCCAGACTCCCCCCTCCCCCTCCCTCCCTTCCTCCCTCCTCCCCCAGTGGATCGGAGGCCGAGCCTGTGTGGTGTGGCCCTGGAGAGGGGGCAGGACCCTCACGGCACCTCATCCAGCAGATGAGGCTGTCGTCACCTAACCACCCCCGAGATGCACCGAAGTTGAGCTGCTTCTGTCATTTGGAGCAGCCTCTCTGAAGATAATTGGAAACAGACTGAGCGAGTGGTGAAATGGGATGAGGCGTGTTCCCCTCCATAACAGGAAAGCATGCTCCGCGTCCCCGCAGCTGAAATGAGGGCCTAGGCACGGCTCCCCACCATTTGGAGGAGTCCTCTGTAATCACACTGCACCGCAATGACACTAAATTGCTGGAGCGAGCCTACTGTAGGCGGGCCATAGGAGGCCATTATTCTGCCGAGCGAAACCCAACGCGGCGCATTAGCCGTAATTACGGCCAGCCCGTTTCCAGGGGATACCGAGTCTCACCTGTCCTGAAAACCTATTCAGTTTAACAGCTCTGTTTATTCACATGCATGTGGGAACATGTTGTTTTCCAATTTAATAATGCGGTCTGAGAAAATAAGCCATCTTCTTGTTCTCTGTGATGTTTTATGCGCGAATGCAGGCCCTAAGGAAGCCAGGAAAGGCACCTCTCTGCATCACATGGGACTCTGGCAGCCACAGCACTTTGTACACTTCACGCTTCCTACAAAGACACGAAGCGGTGGTCTCTCAGGCAGGGCCAGGCTACACACATCCGGACAGGAGCAGGTGTGGGGGCAGCATCGGAGCGGACACACCCAAGGGTGACGTTCCGAATCACCACTGGGTCCCGCTCCTACTGAGCTAACCCTACGCCTTTCCAAATGAAGAATCTTTAAACCGATCATTTACTGTAAGAAAAAAACGCTACATGACTTGGAAGGGATCCCACACACTGTCATATAGATAATTATGTGGGATAAACAGGAGCAATGATTGCAGGATCTGGGCTAAGTTGCGATAATGAGAGAGTCACTCCTGCCGTCCCTCTGAAGCGTCTCGGGGCCGCCATCTCCCCATTCCACCTCTCGTCCTACTTCAGGGCCGATGTTCGTACCCTGCAGCTCTGCTCAGACTACCACGGGGTCGCCCTGTCTGAGTCTCCTGTGGTCAGGGCAGCAAGCATCAATGACCTCACCCTGAACCCTAGGTCTGTCCGGTCCCCACCAAACTGGAACGTGACATTCCTGAGGGCCCATCTCCTCCCGAGGCCCCTAATTATGGCCATAAATGCAGCCTGAGCTGATTTCCATGCACGGGTTGTGGTGACGCGCTTTGTGACACCGTGCGTGTGCGTGCTCTGCAAGTGGGCCGCTCTGTGGGGGCGGAGCCTCAGTGAAAGCTAGCAGATGTGCCGAAGGCCTGTTGCCTTCTCTGCTCTGCCCACGGGCCACACGGCGCCAGCACGCCAGCTCAGCCGGGGTCCAGATGGGCGCTTTCGGTACAGCTGGGATACGGACAGCTGCCGCCCACACGGGAAGCTGACCCCTGGTTACGGGGCCACTCCACACCTTCAGTCCACATAAATCCCTTAATACGGCCTCCTGGTTAATCTGCTAATGATGAATGATTAGAGCCATAGAGAAAATTTAGAGGGGAAAAAATGTTTCATTAAGCTCCTAACTCTGACTGCCTGTTTCCCTTTCTCTAATCCTTTCAGCCAACAATTACAGTGTGGCCCCAATTAAAAGCAGCAGCTCGGCAAGTCAGAAGTAAAAACGGCAGCCGGTCGCATGTTTCCGCACACAATGGAGTAAAAATAGCCGGTAATTTGCGAAGCGTGTCCTCAGACTCTCCAAAGTGCCCCCCCCCCCTTCAGCTCCTAATCAGCTGCTGCTTGAACCCACTGCATGTGGTCATTCTCCTCCTCAAGCTCCATGTGCCACATTCATCACATCATTTTTTTTTCCATGGCCCTGAAATTAAACCGCATCATTCATGCTTGCGGGAAGACATTCCATGGAGGGGAGGGGGGGGCTTGGGTGGCATGGGCTTAGTTACAGCAAAATTGATCCTACAGAATGGTACAGAGTGCTTCTCAATACCAAGAATGCAAAGATTGTACTTGTGGTCTTGCTAATTTGCCTCCCAAGAACAAACTTGGGCTGCAATGAATCATGGGATTGGTCTCAAGTTGAGGGAGGCATAAAAACAATTTCCCCACGGGGATCAATAAAGTATCAATTATTAATTATTATTAATTATTTGGCGAGGATGCAACTGATGTAGCCTTGATAGTAGTGGAGGGGCAAGACCAAAAACCGGGGATTTTTACCGTCCTCTGTACTGTTCTTAGTATTGGAACTGGGCTTAGGCAATGGAAGATGACATAAAACGAGTACACGACAACACAAGTACGGTCAAGTACGCATATTGAGAAACACCCAAAGACAGCCTCGACATCAGGGCCTTGCCATTAGCCACAATTCCCCTGAGTCTGCCTGAGTCTGTCAAGCTGAGGGGTCCTGGGGGAGGGTGACCGACAAGGCATGCAGCCCCCACGGTCCGCTCCGGAGGCCCCGTATCTGAAAGCATCCTACACAGAACTTTCCGGCCTGCAGGGGGAGGGTGATGAAGGGAGGACATGGTGACTTATGGGCGATTTTCCGCACTGAAGATGACACTGTCATAAACTCCACTGGCGGGGGGGGGGGGGGTATTGGGGGGGGGATTTCCAACCAAAGAAAAGATAACCTTTCGCTTCGCCAGAGCTACATAAATCCGTCCCCGGCAGCCGAGACTCTTACACCCGGAGACAGTGTGGACAGTACATCAATCTCTGCACTGCAGGGCCACGCAGACCAACCCTCTGCACTTCCTGTCCTCCGCTTTAAAAAAAAAAAACGAAAAGCTCAGCGTGTTGCCTGGTTGGTTCGCCCGTGAGCCTATGCTCGAGAGACGGGGTAGGGGGGCTGCTCCCCGTCGGCCTCGTACCTTAAAGACAAACATTTCCCGCCGCAAGATCGCCAGCGTGTTGAAGCCGCCGTCACAGATGTTGGGCTTGACATTGGGGTACGTAGGCTTGTCTCCGGAGGGCAGCCGGGGCGGCCGAGTCTGGCGGTCGTGCTTGCGGGGGTCGGGTGGGTGGGAGCGGGGGGCCGGGACCGTCGGTAGTGGCCGGGTCGGCTGGGGAACTTTGTCAGGGGGACCTGAAGCGGAAAACACAGAAGAATACATGACCTGATGGTACACAGTACTGGAGAATACACCTCTGCCATCTCACAGGCTCCCTTTCAACCCCAAGGGCTGTCGTCAATCTACCTGAGGATGGAAACTATGCCCTAGGGCCTTTCTGAGGAGCGGTGGACCTGCACAGCATTACAAACATCTCAGAACGTCCAACAAACCCTTCAACAGCATAACAGAAGGTGTGCGTTAGCACATTCAGCACAAAATTCTCTCTACTCAGGGAAAACACGGCCACCGTAATACTCACAGGCCCTACAAGCAGGCTGTGCCCAATCCCTGTGTCACCTTTAAAACTGAAGTCTGCGCTGAACATGACATCTTTATGGGTGAAACTCAGTTTTGTCTTTCTCACGCCGCACAGGAAAAAAGGGGTTAATATTTTAAATGATTGTCCCACTGTTGACGGCGTTAAGTTTCCGAACAAATCTGTTTTGTCATTCTCAGATAAGACACGGCAATACGAAACTTCTTCAAATTAGTTTCGGCTGAATTCAACCAATTCGGGCACAATAACTTTGCCCTGAGTGCGAGCAAGTCATTTTCATATTAATCCCGGGAATATTCCATATGTTCAGGATTGCCCTCTCTGAAGACGAAATTAAAATGCAGAAATGACATTCATTTAGAAAATTCATTAAGGCAGCAGAGTAAACTGTTAATTAGCGCGGCAAAATGTGTGCAGGCTGATTACAAGGAAAACCGCTGCATTAGCTGGCACAGGGCGTAAAAGATGATAAAATAGCACTCGTTTGTCAAATCGTTTTGCGAAAAGGGCAAAACTCTAATCATGTCGGCTCTATTGGGTATATCTCTGCAAATAGAGAGGGGTGAATCTGCACTGATTGGCGGAGGAAGAATAAACATGTTTGGTTTTGGTGGATAAAATGTTCCTTCGTGGCATCCTGCCTCACTGGCTCCTCACTGGACGACTGTGTGATTCGACGTACGACAGGAGGGATATGAAAAACACGTGTGAGGCTTTTCGTGTGGCGGCTTCTTCACACCATGCTTGCCTATGAGACGAGGAGTGAGCATAAAATATCGCAGCAGTCGTCAGGGACACGCAGGAGTGGAATCCATGGAGTGGTCATTTACACAAGCACGCTGAGGACTTCCCCCATTATATTCTTTGACAAAATAAACCGAGCGCAATATACTTTACGGCAGTCTTGCTGACAGGGAGTGTGAGGTGTGTGGCTCTGTGGGTTAGAACCTGTATCTGTGACCAGAAGGTTACCGGTTCGTATCCCATGCCTGCCAAAGTGATTTCACCGTTGGACCCTTGAGCTGAGACCCTTAACCGCCAATTGCTCCTGGGACTGTCTGATCCTGCTCTCTAATCTTCACTCGTATGTTAGTTCGGACCAAAGCATTTGCCAAATACGTAAATAAGCAAGGTGACTCATAGCACACGAGAAGCTGGAGATCGCCGTCTTGCTGGGGAGCTACCGGCCAAGACGGCCCTTACCACCCTCTCTCCGTGAAAACATAGGACGTTCCCCAAAGATCCACCCAAAGAGACCTTTACCGTATATTTTCTGGATGCCCAGCAGGTCGTCCTGTGGCAGCTTGAAGTTCTCCGTATCCATGTACTGGTAGAAGGGGGCCATGATGGCGGTGGGATCGTTGGAGTGCTCCAGGCCCAGGGCGTGGCCCAGTTCGTGCACAGCCACCAGGAAGAGGTCGTTCCCTGTGGGGACAGCGGCAGCGGAATGAAGTGCGACAGACAGAGACGTGCGGGGGCTGCGGGGATGACGAAGGGTGGTCAGAGGAACTCAAAAAACCCGAAACAGGAATGGCGTCCCAGAAGAGCATCTCGGCCATCGCAGACCCCGCTCTTGTTTGGGTTTTAATATCCATAGAGGTTAGGCCGGCGAGACCATACGGCCCAGGAAAATGGAATTAACAGAGTGTCCAACAGAGGTCGGGGATGTTACGCTGGTGAGTAATGAGGGCACCGGTGTTTTATCATCGCGGCGAGTTTCTGTGCGGAGCACAGCAAGAGGTGCCACTTCAGCAGGACCGACTCCATCTGGAAACGTCTGCGCTTTGGGCCAGAACGTGGATCCGAAGAGGCCGGCCCTCTGTCTCTGCGATTCCCATCCGAGCCCCGGCTGTCCTCCGGTGACGATGTACTTATTAACAGTCTGCTGTTCCCATCTCCATTTTTCGATACCCGCTTCACTGTAGATGGAAACAGGAAGCGAGTGGAGAGAGAAACCAGACAGGACTGCCGGCCCGTAAGACACGGGTCAGAGAGAAACAGCATCAGTCCAAAGAGAACCATGCCTGCTAGCCTGGTATTTTAGTCAAAGGCAAAACTTACATTTCTATGACGTATGAACCATGCCTGCAAGCCAAATCTGACAAAATGGAAAAGGCAGGGAGAGCCCTCTCATTGGGTAAATGTCTTACACTTAAATAAGAAACCAAACAGCAGAAGAAACCAACACAGGGGTTCCACACAGCTACTGCACTCATCCAGGGTTTAAGATGCCTGTTTGCTGTATGTTTGCCAACATCAAACCTCAGGGGACAAGGGCAACATCTGGATACCATAATAATCCCAAAATGTGTTTAATGCGACTTCAATTATGTGAAAAAGTTGCAGTGAAAAATGCACTGAAGACAGCACCGCAGCTCCCCTCAGTGAGGCTTGCTTAATGCTGACTAATCCTTCAAAACATCCTTTCTGCTCATCTTCTGAGCCCGCAGTGACACTGAGGCACGTTCACGGAAAGCCGGCGTGGTCACATGTGGATCTGTGTTCGACGTCGGACCCGACCTGAGAGGAACAGGACAGCGACACTCTCTCCTTCTAGAAACATCTAAATGTGACTCACTTTGAAAAACAATAAGATATATATGTTGGCTGTACATGTGCAAACTGTCTTTAACGTTTAGAAATATTCTTATTTGCTTTTTTGCATTAGGGTGTCAGGGTTTTGAGATCAGATAAGCGGGATGAAATACGAGTGTGAAGGGAATGTGAGAGAGTGACTGCACCCCCCGCGGGTCTGGGCCCGGGGAAGGGAGCCTGCGCCTCGGCCTGCTTCAGCGAAATCCGGAATGCTCTGAGATCTACATTTCCACGGATTAGGCCGAGTGCGGAGAGACGATAAACCCGGATGTCTCCTCCTGATGGAACCTGAAAGGATGGATGATAAGCCATGAAGAGCGAGTGAAATCCCATCAGCGGCAGAGCGCTGCGATCGGGCCCGGCGTGGGGGCGGCTCCAGTCGTTACCTGTCCCCGCCCCCCAGCTCCTTCCACCTGAAAGTTTGTCAAATCCTGTAAGCTTCTAATTTAACTAGAAGTTAAGTGTTAAATAGACACTTATTAAAGATTGTTTCTAAATTATCCAGCTCCAGGATAAGCTACGCTCAGTGCCCGGAACTTTCAGGTGCAGAAATTCTATTCTCATCACTTGAATGAACGCTTTTCCGGTCACCTGGGCTGCCCTGTTATTGTTGTTTCACACACACACAGTACACATCTCTCCCTCTCCAGGCATCCCTCTTCATTGACCTTGCCCCTCTATCAATGCAGGCCACACCTCTTGCTGTTCCTCCAATCAGCAATCAGGAGGCATAAGACAACCGATGCTGACTCCGGGCTCTGATGGCAAATTCCCGTCAAAGTCAGAGACTGTTTTTTAATTACTGGTGTTTCCCAACCCAGTCTTCGGGGAATCCTGGACAGTCCACATTTTCGCTCCCTCCCAGCTCCCAGCCAATCAGGAACACCGAATACCTGGTACAGGTGCGCTGGGAGGTGAGAGGAAGCAAAATTGTGGACTGTCCAGGGTTCCCCGAGGACTGGGTTGGTAAACACTGACATAGACAACTAAGGATTAATATTTAATTAGCCTCCTCCCCTTGTAAATACTGCCACAGAGCACCATCTGCAGATCTGTTTGATGGGAGGGGGAGTGGCCATCCCACCATCCATCACTGCCCAGCGCTGTGAGTTGAATCCTATAGGCTTAATGGCACACCAGCATTCTAACCAATGGGGAGAGCAGATCTCTGACCAATGGGACAGCAGCTCCATGAGCAGGGCTCTGAAGTTGACTATAAACAGATTGTGTTCTAAGAGTGACACACAGATCCAAAAACCTGGTTTTGTGTGGCTTGACCCCGAATGGTAGCATTTCCTTGAAGGTAACAGAACAGGATGCTCTCCCAGGTTCTCCAAATTCAAATGACATGAGTATTTCCCTTAAATAGCCAACAGTTGAAGGCTAGGCCTCACTTATTGGATGGATCGAGAGGTACATTAGGTGCGTAAGGAGTGTCAGACTTAGAGGGTCCTCAGACCTGTTCAACCTGCCAAATCAGCTCCGGCAGGGCTGTCTTACAGGCTGCGCACTCCTGCAATTAATGCAGCTGGCGAACCCTTCAGGCCCGCCCTCCCTCAGAGCCATTAGCACGTCCTAATTAGACAGGTGACCGCTGGAGGAGGGGTTCCTCCTGCATTAAGGGCACACGGATACATAAACACACACGGCGGAGAGAGAGCAGGCAGAGTGCCGAAATAAGTCAGAAATAAAAACAGCCGCCACAGTCAAGAGCCAGACACGGCAGATTTACTGCTTTGACACAGGGAGTAGAATCACCTCCGTATTAAAAACACACTCGCCATGCGTTTCCAGAACCTTCCGGCAGCCAAGAGGATAACGGGCTGGTCGAGATCGGTGGAGACTGTACCGTGTGCCTCCACTGGCGCCTGGGACAGTTATTCTCCTGTGTGACCCCATCCCAGCACTGCTAGCTGTCAAACGCGAGACCCGCTACATAGCCCACCCGCCAATGTAACGCGAGACCCGCTACATAGCCCACCCGCCAATGTAACGCGAGACCCGCTACATAGCCCACCCGCCAATGTGGTCTCCTCTCCAGCCATGACGGTGACAGCAATCGTCGAGACTCACAGAGGAGGGGGGGATCTGTGCTGGGGGAGGCCCTGAGGTCCAGATTTACCTCCCCCCCACCCGCCACCATATTCAACAGCTCAGAAATCATGACCCAGAGATCTATCATTCTTGCCCCCTTTAGCAGACCAGGCAAACGTGCTACGCTGGGGACACATCAATCTCCTCTGTGCTCAAATGCCTTCCGCTTGGTGCCCTTTGCTCATGGGAGTTTTACTCATACCATAATGTTGTGAGGGAATATTGAAGAGGCAGGACTAAGACATCTAATTAGTTGGACCCACCTCCTCTGCAATCTGATTGGTTATCTCTCTGAACCAATCATTTTTCAATCTGCCCTCAGAATGAGCGTGCCCTTTCAGGGTTGGAGGGGACGTTCCACTTATTAACTGTACTGCTGCAGGCCCTTTGGCTACACCAAAGACATCAAGGCTGATCCTCTCGTCCTGTGATGCAATTCAATGGATACTATTAAACCACGTAGGTGCTCTTCCTGTTTCCTGTGCTGATACAATGTCTGGTGGGAGAGGTTCAGGTTTCCACTGGGATGTGAGGTGGTTTGACCCCTAACCCCAGGCGACCGTCACAAACCTGCTTTCCAAAATCCACATGGAGCATCCATTTCCTGCTCCCGCCTCTCGGATCTGATGCACTTCCCAGTGGATATTATTGGCTTGCCTTTGACGGTATCTCAAATCTTACAGAAAAACCCTGAATTCCAGTCCTTATAAGTAGCTAGGGGACATTATCTCTGACATCGACGGCAGCACAGGCTCTCGGCACAACAAGCCCGTGGGGAAAATTCAACCGTGGGATCTGATCGCATGATCCCAGGGGATCTGCCCAATGGTGGCTACCTGTCTGCTCGGGTCACGGCCATTTACCCGGAGCGCAGGTACTACACCGAGCTGTGAATCAGCCGTGAACCGGAGATACAGCAAAGCCCCAGCAAGGAGACAGAGGTCAACCATGACACTAATGTGTCTCAGGACATGGGGTGACTGAATCCCATTTTCATTGGACCGTACCATAAATGCAGAGGCACTGGAATGTACTGCAAATGCAGAGACAAAGGACCATACTGTGAATGCAGAGACACCGGACATACCATGAGTGCAGAAACACTGGACTGTTCCGTAAATGCAGAGATACTGGACTGGACCATGAATACAGAGACAGTGAACCGTACTGAGAATGCAGAGACACTGGACCGTACCATGAACGCAGAGACGCTGTACCATACTGTGAATGCAGAGACACTGGACCATACCATGAATGCAGAGACGCTGGACTATACCGTGAATGCAGAGATATTAGACTGTACCATGACTGTAGAGACACTGGACTGTACCATTAATGTGGAGACACTGGACTGTACCATTAACGTGGAGACACTGGACTGTACCGTTTTCCACAATTCCTCCACCAGCCAGCCCTCTATTCCGTGCTCGTACCCTGCTTTGACTTTTCAAGGCCAGTCTGACTGCTAATCATTTTGTTTCACCAACAAATTCTGTGACGTGTCCGCAGTTGTAACTGTAGGACATTATTTATGCATGTCTGCATACACCATGTACATATTTCATTGAAAGACAGCTCGGAGGAGAATCCCCGAAGGTTCTTACCGTCGTGGTTAGGATTCCCCAAAGTCCATGGTTCGTCCGAATCGAAATGAGTATCCCCTCCGATTCCGGGTCCCGGGAAGTAGGCGTGCGCCAAAAACCCCCCCTCGCCATCAAATGGAGAGCTGTCGCCGTGGAATCCAGAGGCAAAGATGATGGTGATGTCGACGTCACGTTTGCCGTTCTCCAGGGCGCTGTAGGGCACGGCTTCGAAGCGCAGGGGCGTCACGCTCTGCCACACATCGAAGGCCCTCCGGATGGCGTTGTGCGTCTCAGCCACACCCACTTTGGGTGTCACGTTCTTTATGCTGTGGGGCGGGGGGGCAGGGGGGGCGGAGGCCAAACAGCAGAGCGTGAGGAAACGCGCATGAGGTTTTACCGGAGGTAGCACACCAAGGATCTGAGGGGTTTGGCTGGCCACCAGAGCATCCAGTCATGACAGACCAGAGTCACAAGGGCCCTTCAAAATAAAAGTCATTTTTTGAGTTAAAAGTCAGCAGTTCACGAATCTGGCTCCTTCACTGACTTTTACCGATGCAAATCTCCTTCTTCAACTTTTGTTCTTAATACTTAAACATTCATAACCTCAAACTCTGTCAGTATGATGTGAAACATTCTGTTAATTTATTCTCATGGAACTCATTATGGATGGCTAGCTGGACGCTTTAACAAATGCTTAGCCCACGGCCAGCCGAGAGGTCAGAGGAAGATTGTCTTGACCTAAGCGAGGGTTAGAGGACGAATATGCTGCCCCCAGGTACGACACACACAAGTCAGACACTGCATACCAGCCCCCCAGGATGATGAGGACTCAGATCCACACCTTAGAATTATCCAGGCTTATCCAGGACCACCCACGTGTATCGATGCCACACAAAAACATCACCCAGGCTTTTCCTACATGCTGACCTTCTTCACTGATGAGTAAGATCCCGTTCTCTCTCGAGGTGACGCTAAAGTTGCATTTTTTTTTTGTGTGGGATTACAAATGTCTTGCTAGAGCACAGGCAAGCTGTGGATGCTTCATTAATTCCTTCTGATTAATGCCTGTTAGTTTAAGCTCCTCATGAGCTGAAGACCTCCTCATATCAATTACAGCATCTTCCGTTGAAACAGGGGGATTTTAGCAGAGGTTTTCATTCAAAGGTACAACAGCTGGCGCGTCTGTGTGACTTTAAACTGCTGCAAGTCCTCCCACACAGCAGGGGGCATACTGTAGCTGGTTGAGGCCAGTTCTTCTGAGGAGAGGCAGGATGGGAGAGCAGAGGGCATCTGCCACAGAAGAACTGTAACAGCAAGTTTAATCTGGCTCAGACAGAACCATGTGACCCAGGATTCAGATGGTAAACAGCCATGGTCACGGATAAAAAAAAATGATCTGGAGAGTTCTGGAAATCAGAGGAGATTATTTTGCCTGGAATGGGGAGAATCCCAGAAGGACGACCTTCCCCAAGATGCTTTTAATCAGGAGTCCGTCACGTATGGATAGCCCGGCACTGACTGGCTGTCTTTCGGAATAGGCCAACAGAACCACATGTCAAGATAAAACACATTTGCGTCATTTGAATAACATGTAACTGCCGCAATCATCAGTCAGCTTAAAGACGGATAGCAGAACCCCCTCATCTGCATGGAAACATAAAGCGAGGATGGCCAGGAAACAGGAGGTTCACACAGCAGTCACAGAAAAGCTGGCAGACATCCGCTGCCAGGCTACTAACCATACACTAACCGCAAGCTAGTTAGCAGGTCTCCAGTACACTAGGAATAAACCCAAAAGCCCAGATGTATTCCCTTTAGTACAGTGGCCATGATAGCCAGGTAAAGGAAGGCTAATGCTGCAGTCACTGATATCCACTCTCAGCCCGTTAACCGCACACTAGCCATATGCTAACTTCACGCTAACATATGCTAACTGTATGCTAACAATACACTAGCAGGATGCTAACCATATGCAAACTATATGCGAACCACACACTAGGTTACCAGCCTGATTGTTTCCTGTTCGTGTTATACTCAGCATGACAGCCAGACAAATGGAACGTTAATACCACAGGCATCCGTTGTCAGGTCGCTAACCACACACTAATCATATGCTAACCGTATGCTACCCATTTGCTAACTGTATGCTAACAGTACGCTAACATTTTATTTACCATGCGCTAAGTGTAAGCTAGCCACACACTAGCTTACCAGGGCTCCAGTACAGGGGGGGCATAAAGCTGCTAGCGTGACAGCCAGGCAAATGGGAGGTTAATACCAAAGTCACAGACATCCGCTGTCAGGCCCTTAACTGCAGGCTAACCACGTGCTAACTGCACTCTTACAATATGGTGACTGTATGCTAATTATACGTTAACATTTTATTAACCGCTAACTGTAAGCTAACTGCACACTAGGTTACTGGGGCTTCAGTACAGTGAAGCGAAACCCTGCCTGTTTCCCACTAGAGCTGTGCTCAGTGTGACAGCCTGGGGCCCCGACACCAGAGCAGCGTGAGGCTGAAAGAAAGATATCATTCTGAATGATTAAAATGGCAAATATCCAAATAAATGAAGGAGTAAAGCATGACACCTCAGCCCCACATGATTCCACACCCCTCTGGTCACAAGAAATGCCCATGGTCGCAGAGTACGCAAAAGAGTTTTTTCCATGAAAAACTCATGGGAGTTTTTCCTTGCCTCTGGCTTGCTCACTGGAAGCTTTGTGCGGGGATGCTGTAAAGTGCTTTGAGACAATATAATTTTGTGAAATATACAAATAGAATAGAATAGAATAGAACTGGGGATGGGAGGGTTAAAATCAGAACTAAAGGAGCTCGATACTGCCAGTCAAATGTAACAACAACAGATACCGGTGGAACGTCTCCCATGATGCACTGCAGTGACTATTAAGGGCAATGCTGGGGCGAGCTGCCACTCCGCAGGGATGTGAGCCCACATCCGACTTTCCACCACCATCAGTTGTACGGGAATTGAGTTTGGACCCCCCCCCCCCCCCCCCCCCCCCCCCCCCCCTTCCGGCCCCCCCCCCCCCCCCCCTTCTGTGATCTCCAAGGAGCTCCGTTTGAGCTCAGCGTGTATCTTCCTGCCGCTCCATCCATCCGAAGGCGGACCGATTTGAGGAAGCTTCCCGCAAGCCGGATCCGCAGCCAGAACTCTGAGATCATACTGGAGCTTTTTCATATTAATGCTAGTGATGGTTAAACAGGACTAGCTTTAGGAACAGGGGTGGTTTATTGAGGAAAACTCATTAGCACGCTCACCTGATGGGCTTTTTCGGAGGCCCAACTGGCCACAGTAACCTCGCCGGGATGAGGGAGCAGCGCTCTGCGTCCACGTGCACGCGGCATGTCTGCGAGCGAGCGGTGCAGTGGAGCAGAGAAGCCCTCCACCTGCAATCTGCTTCCCTTCATGTTTGGCTTCCCGAACTCGGTGGGGGTGGGGGGGAGGGGGAGCTGTCGCTGCTAATTACTTCCCTCCCTAGTCCTCCCAACCCTGAGTCCAAGGGCAGCTCTGCAGGCCCCGGTTATGGGGACATTTGTGCAAGCGATCAACCCCGCCCTCCCCCCACGAGCCCCCCCACCTCCAAAGCACAGCGCCCCCTGTTGTCGCCAACAGGTATCGCTATCCCATCTCGGCAGGTTTGACGCACTAACTACTCTGTTAATGCGAGGCGTGACGTAATGCAGCACATCGACAGAGACATACTGCATGCGTGACCATATGTGACCGGGTGGATGGGGATGGGGATGGAGAGGGGGGTGGTGGGCTTGGGCGGTCTGACTGAGAATCCGGGGCAATGCTCAGGCTGGTACAGGACAAAACGTACTGTACACAGTCTGAGTCACACACGGACGCGGGGGGCACCTACAGCATTATCCAGCGCTCAGGAAATCGCACACGCCCCCCCCAGGGCCGACATCACACAGAGCATAGTGCCCACCCCCACCCCCCCGTGGGCTGCTTTTGCTATAATGGGCATCCAAGACCACAGTAAGCCTCAGGGTACTGAACAAAACAAATATGGCCCTTCGAGGGACACGGCGCCCCCCGTAGGGTCTATGGCAGGCTGGTCATTTAAAGGAGTGCATGACACAGGGGACATGGGTGATATCTTCTCCTCTGAGCAAGGATGGGCTTCTTGCCCACTCCATGACTCCCCCTGCTGGACGGGCAAAACATGCGCACATGTGAAACCCACAACCCAGCCGGGTCTGATGGCAGATCGCCCCTGATAGTGCCCCCCCCTCCACCCGCCCCCGCATGTGACACCCTCACCTGTAAGTGATGTGCTTGTGTTGCCACTTCTGCCCTGTGAGGGCATAACGCCGGCGCCTCACGTTGAGCTTGGAGCCACCGCCCGTCTGGTCTGGCACGCCGCACCTCGGCCTCCTCATCCAGCTGCGGGGCACAGAGGAGGGCTGCGTGTGAGGCTGGGGCCACGGTGGCGCCCCCACCTGACAGACTAGTGCAGTGCACCGACCCGCCCTGCCATGCGTGGATGCTAACAGGTGCTAAAGGGAGCCTATGAACACAGGTGGTAAAAGGAGATCGTTCAACGTGGGGACTGATAATACAAGCATCCAGGAAATGCCTCAAGGGGCAGGGCCTTCACTTGAGGGGGCGGCACCATATCAGTTCACAGCAGGGGACATGGGGCATAAAAGCAGCAAGGATGCTACGGAGGAAAGGTGTAAAGTGAACAGGCAGGCTGAGACACAGGAGCTGGGCATGCTCACTGACACAGACTGACACTAACACAGAAACACCGACACAGAATTACACACACAAACTGACACAGAAAGACACACAGACACAGTCAGATACAGACATGCAAAGACTGATGTAATGACACGGAAACATTGATACGGACAACATACACTGACAAAGACACACACAAATTGAAAGACAACCTGACACAGATAGACACAGAAACGACACACACAGACTTACACAATGATACACAAACACAGACAGAATCAGACACACAGACTGACACAGAGACACATGGATTGATGCTCTGACACAGACAGCCACTGAGACATATTCAGTGTCAGACACACATGGACACACAAACACAGACAGACCCACACAGACTGACACACTGACACAGAACCACAGACTGAGATAGACTGACACAGACTGACATAGACTGACACAGACTGACACAGACTGACACAGACTGACACACTGACACAGAAACACAGACTGACATAGACTGACACTGAAACACAGAGACTGACATAGAATGCCACAGACTGACACAGAAACTGACATAGACTGCCAAAGACACAGACTGACACACTGACACAGAAACACAGAGATATATACTGATTCAGACACACACAGCCTGGCAGACAGAGACTGACACCGATACACATACACTGACAGACACACACAGACTGACAGTCACACAGAGATACACAGACAGTGACAACTGTGATCCCAATGGAGATCGGAATTTGGTCAGTCTCTAGTCAATGGCCCAGTCAAAGCGCAGCATCATAAATCTGTCATGTGACTAGGAGGTGTGGCAGGAAGGGAGGGCGTGTGGGAGGGGCTTGTGTGTAGAGTAAGGGTTTTTGAGGGAGGTGCATGGATTTTCGAGAGCCTGAGGGAGGCTTCTGGAGGGTTTGGGGGTGAGCATTTGAGGATGGTCACTCACTCAATGGTCCCCATGTCCAGCGTGCCGGTGACGTTGAGGCCGTACAGGCGCTGCATGGCAGCGATAGCCGACTGCATGGTCTGGGCGGAGCGCAGCACTGACATCCGCGGGTCGGTGCTGGGGAGGTAGCCGTACCGCTGCAGCCAGGCCTGCAAGGGGTGATAAGCACACAGTGAGGCATGGAAAAGACCTGCAAATCCACCCTCCACAGAGCAAGAAGAAACAATTACTGCATAGGAATTCGAAAAGGCAGCTCTTGGGGATAGATCTCCTCGCCCTCGTCTGTTACTGGCTTTGTGTTTGTTAAAGAGTGTGGAAAGTCACTGAGGCAGAGAGGACGTCATACCGTCAGACTGTGGTCGATACAGTCAGGTTTAAACGACAGCTTTAGGGAGGATGTACGGATGATACCACTGTGCGGAGATGGACCCCCTCCCTTTCCCATTATCTGTCCGTGTTAGAGAGCACAGTGACATATTCGCATATTTGCTCTGAATATGGCGTCCATTTGAGGAAAGGGCATAGGGCCCAGTATTAAGAAAGCCAGCCTTTATCTGAGGATTAAACACAATCGTCCCGGCGGAGGGAGGTCACTGTGCTTCCTCCGGGCAACAAAAACAAAACACAGAGAACTTAAAACCGCCAGCGGCTTCTCTGCTCCTCTCTCAGTGGGATTCTCCCTGGTTCCGGTGCGGATCACTGCCAAAACACACTCTAACGTGACACTCGGAGCAAGGTGCTGGAGGGGATGTACAGAACCGGGCCCGTCACCTGACTCCCATGATGGTTACTCGTCATCGTCATGGCAATGTGTAGTGCGCCCCCTTTAGTCTGTATCATGCCATGACATGGCTCCACGGCCCCAGCTTAACCTGCAGATAAGCATGACCCCCGATTCATCACGCTTGGCGCTCAAAGCTGATAGGACACCGGCCCCCCTCCCGGCATCGCAGCCAAACCGCCCAGCCCCGTGGTCCCGTTCCTGGCTAGCCGGCGCCTCTCGGGGAAATGTTATTGCCCCATTATCTAAGCGGCTGGGAGCTGGAACTCCAGAGCACAGCTGGACGACTGCAAAATCTCTGCAAGTCAAAAAATAGCACGAGGGTACGGAGCGAGAAATGCCAGATATGTGGCTGGACCTCGGCAGAAAACAGCAGTGGCCCAAGAGCAGGATCCAGCACCATGTCAGAGTGGAACGTCAGCCAGCGACACAGTCAAAGCGGAGGGGAGGTCACCGTCACGGCTGCAAAACGAGGTGAACGTCCGGAAAAACACATGCCTGTTCAGAACCTCTCTTCTTACCGACCACATCTGCCGTGGGTCTTTTTGGAATCCACACGTTACAAGACTACAGGACCTCGGAGAGGAACAAAGACAGCCCTCTCAGCTATTAAACCCGGCACTGAGAACGTGCGACGCACGCAATCGGCACAAAAAGCCGGTGGCCGCCTCAGATGGAGTCACACGGCTTGGTGAAGCTTTACAGTCACAGCGGGCGGCCGTGAGCTGGGAATGAACAGCCTCCGCATGCCGGGGAAATGAGGACGGCGGCAGGGACACGGAAAACTTGCCCTGAATCATCTCCGTGCCATGGTTTGTTTACGTTTTCACATGCGGACGTCTGAGCCAGGATTCGGAATTTTTTGATGGACGTATAGAACTGGACGACAGGCCAAGGATGCTAGACATGGGCGTGTATAACATGAAGAGCAGAATATGACCTGTCAGTCGTTAATCTTCATAAATAAAACATCTATTATAGTGACTGAAACCATGTAATGATCTGAGAGTTTTATCTTAGAAAGCGGAGGTCACAGAATCACTCACCCTCCTCATGCTTATAGATGATCCCAACAAAGCGTGTGAGCATATTAATGCGGGGCAATCAAGCAGTTGGAAATGACGAAACTGAAATTACAAAACGAAAGCGTACAGCTGACTTCAGCACATTTCTGACACGTTTTAAAAACTTTTAAAAAGCTTTGAAGTAGATGTGCGGAGCAGGCCCAGAGCAATCTGCTCCATCCCTCGTAGTGTCGCCTGCCAGTTCATATTATTGATTCTCTTTTACTCTTTATGTATCGATCGGCTGTGGGCCGCCGCAGTTTAGCAGGTTTTTAAAAGCGCTCTGGCCCAGAAATGAGCAGTTATGGTAAAGCTAAGAGTCGACCCCCAGCAACGGCGCCCCCATGGGACCTCAAGTCACCTTCATGCCAGCCCCCATGTGACCTCGATGATGTTCCGCTACAGGCTTAATGTACACAGGACACTGGACCCAGCCATGTCACGTCTGTGTTTCCAGGGGATTGTGGGTAATATACGGATGAAGGCCACCGCGAGGGGTCACATATTCTATTCCATTCCATATATTCCAGCACTTGGGGACAAATACGCCTGGCAGGCTGGGAAATGACAGCTGAGATAAACCTGTAAGGTCTGAGAGGGCTGGGGGGGCAGCGGATTAGAGAGGGGGCGTGGCCTGGCAGGCCAGCACACACACAGCTCAGGCCCTCCATCCCAAACTAACACTAATTAACCGCTGAGGCTAGACCAATTCACAATAAGGTAGACTCCTCCACACTAATCAGATACAGGTCACACGTTAACGAGCGCGATAGCCTAATTAGCCCAGGGGAAACATCAACGCCTAATTCCGGTGCGACCGCTTTATTTATCACCCACTGTTCGCTCGCCGGCTGTGACCATGGCAACAGACGCAGACACGGTGGCAGTATCGGCGCACCTTCCGGAAACGAGAGGCCAGAGTCGGTGTAGGGGGGTGAGGGGGGGGGACGCTGGATGGGGACTGGGGCAATCATCTGTATTTTAACACTCTGATACCCTTAGCTATGTCATGGGGCACAGGACCCTAAACAGACTGTGAATGCCCCCCCCCCCCAGTCATGCTGTCTTACATAGAGCTTTAACCACATGGTTTAGCACGTCGTCCAACAGCCCCCCGGCAGGATATGTAGCTCATTAGCGCCGGTGTATCAGCAGAAGGCGCCGCCTGCTGGTGGGGCACTGGCAGTGCAGGAGATGTACGATCCGCACGCCCCCGTGCCGGGCACCACATCAAACGGCGCGAGCGGTGAGTCAGAGGAAGAGCGCACGGCCGGGCAAGCTGTGTGCCAGGTACCCGCTTCTGCGCTCGTCCCCTGCGAGCGCATACCGGAGGCATGTAAACCATGCTCCGACACCCACACAGGCAAAACCCGAGCAGGGCCCATCAGCCAGCGAGAGCGTTGAACTCGGCCCCCGCCCCCCCCCCACCCCCCCCAGAGGGTCGCTGTGAGAGCTGAATAATTCAACGCGAGGTGCCACTGCGTGCTGCCAAACGGCCGTGCCTGTGTGTTCGTGCCTCAGGAAGCCTCGTGGGGTGGGGGGGGGCATGTCACCATGGTAACGCAGCACCTCGTCCTCCCCGGCCACGTCGTGGGACTCGCGCAGTCAAAAGATCAGCCTGAACTGTAGCAAAAGTAAATAAACCCAAATATGGTGTTGACATCACGGGCCAACCCACCAGTGGGTCGCCGTGGTTACCGCGTTCTCCACCGTCGCCGAGAGACAGAACCGGGGGGGGGGGGGGGGGCGACTGCTGAGATCCTGCTTGCCCACGTGGCATTTCTCACTTGCCACCCTACAAGATCCATGTGCATCATCCCTGGAGGCCCCGCATATCACATGACATGCGCTGACGGTGGGGATCCTTTCATGGGTCCTTACATGAATAGGTGTGCTAAAATCTTTATTTATTCATGCGTAAAAGTTCGAAACGCCAGCAGATACTGTACGTAACTCCATCAGCTCACACCGAATGCTCCTACAACGCTGCCACAACTCTGCCAAAACGTCAAACAGATGATCAAAGGTGGCATCGGGTAATTATAAGCGAGGCTGACTGATGTCTCACCCTCTACCCCCCCCCCCCTCCACCTGCAGGGGGCGGTGCAGCCAGCGGCACCTTTTAATAATTCAACCCACAGTTAGACGCCAGGGAATAGTGATCGGCAGTAACCTGATCTGGAAATCGCGTTCAGACGAGGCCCCCGCTTCATGACACCCTCCCTGCGCCCAAACACAGCCGTATCAACACTGGAGCGGGCCCGCACTCTGTTCAGAGCCCAGCTCTGGTCCCCTTCAAAAGCTGCTCGGGGATTTATGACTCAGGGACGACATTATCGCCGCCCCTGCCGCCTTCCACTCCACAGCGACCGGTCTCTCGAACCACAAACAAGCACAAAAGAAAAACAATCCGCTCGAGAGTCGGGGAACCAATGGCACGACTGATGATGTCCCTTGAGCAGGAAGGAGACCCTGTTCCTTCTGCTTCACTCCGGGGGCCTTTAATCATAAAGTCCTCAGCAGCCTTTCCGGATGGAAATCGAACCTTTGATCCGCTGTCTCTTATCGATGATGTCAGGTCCGTAAACAAGTAGACGGAGAACCTTTGTCAGTGTCCCTCTCGTACACCAAACCGCAAATCTGTGTGCGCCTCAAAGCTGACTATCATTTTTTTAGGTATTATATCAAACAATAGCTGGCTACAGTACAGCACAAATATCTTTGACAGCCCGAAGAAAATGTTTAAAGCTATTTATCTGGGTAGTAAGTGTATAGTTACTCAAAAACATTAGAACATATTTAAGTTTCATTTAACATTAGAACATATGTAAGTTAATAGTAACACCATAAAAAATAAACAAGACTTCCTTCTGTTCTCCATAAAGTTACTGATATCTTGCTGGATGGCTAGATGGACACCGCTTCAGCTCCCAAACCTCTCCTCTCGGGTACCCCAGTCATTCCATATATTCGTTAAATTTCACCACCAGCCCAATTAATCAGTTGATTAGGCACATAAGGTGGGGTAGAACTCAAGTCAAAAAATACATGGGTATATTGAATGGTTGCTACAAATACTAGGTTGACTTTAGGAAAGGCTTCCAAATTTGAAGTTGACACACTTTGACAGGCATGATATCATAGTTTTACACTAACATGAAGATCATTGAGACATCATTTTTCTTGCTTTTACTTTTGCATAGTACTGTATATCCAGTATAGAATTAGGACCATATGTACGCAGCCAACTTGAGTGTGTCATGGCCTGTGATTGGCTGTCAGGACAGGATGTAGCCATATGACGTATTTACTGGCTAAACAACTCCTCACCGCTGCCAGCTCGCCTGCCACCCAGGCGAAAGCAATCACCCCCCAGCCAGGGACGGGACACAACATCTCCAAGCCGGTATTACCGATACAGCACATATGTCGCTGAGAACAAGAGCCAGGTCCCCTCCAGGGGGTCACGACCCCCAAGGATCCACCAATCCCAGGGCCCGTTTTCTTTCCGCTTCCCCATCGCTAGGTCACACTTGTCTCAGGATGCAACGGGAACCGTCCAGTTCCCCTTCAACGATGCCATCGTCTCAGGGTCACCTCCATTCACTGTGTTCATGTCCATAATTCCTGACATTCCCGGTTGGGTCAGCTCCGTCGACCATGTTCATGTCCATAATTCCTGATATTCCTGGCTGGGTCAGTGCCATTCACCGTGTTCACGTCCCTCATTTTGGACATTCTAAGTTGGGTCAGCTCGGTTCACCGTGTTCATGTCCATAATTCCTGACATTTCTGGTTGGGTCAGCGCCGTTCACCATGTTCACGTCCCTCTTTCCGGACATTCCCAGTTGGGTCAGCTCCGTTCACCGTGTTCACGTCCCTCACTCCTGACATTCCTGGTTGGGTCAGCTGTGTTCACTGTGCTCATGTCCGTAACTCCCCTGTGGCCAGTCTGGTCACCTCTGTTCACTGTGGTTATGTCCATAATTCCCAAAATTCCCGGTCGGGTCACCTCCGTTCACTGTGTTCATATCCGTAACTCATGTGGTTCCCGGTCCAGTGATCTGTGCACCAGTGAATTTAATCTGCCAGCAGTGTTTTTTTCATAAGCCAGCAGAGCTAATTCATTTTGAAATAAATGCAGCGTCCGTTTATCTAGAAAAAGTATTTGCGCTTGAAATTACTTGAGATGGACGTGGATGATTGATATCGCAATTCGAATCGCGTTTCGCCCACATTCATCTCGCATTAATGTTAACAAAACAGCGTAAAGCAATAAATAATTCATCACATTCCCCAGCGTAAAAGAGGATCCCCATTCCCTCGTACGCTCGGTGCTTAGTTTCCCCAAAAGCAGGAAGAGAATGCGGTCAGTGCTGTGGCAAGGCGCCCCTTGGCTCTCTGTTCCGTATGGGCGATTGGATAAAGTGATCGCTTAGAAAGCGGATCCCTTATACAGCGGTCGGTCCCCCTTCTAGCTGAAATAAAGAAACTAAGCGTTCATAACCTACAATAATAGTGTTCTGTTAAAGTGTGTCGACAGCTCTGCATACTGCTAAAATTGTTCATGTAACGATTAATTTAATGCACCATTCAAAGTACACGCATTTCCAGTAATTATAAAGCACAATGTACATTTGTCTGGGAACAATTGCGGGTCTCCATTGGTACATTTTTATCATTTGAGTTATATATATCGACTGTTATGAGTTATTCCTTATATCAGCAAACCGTTGCCGGCGTACCAGTTGTACAACTCTACTGGTCCAGAAGTACCCCAAGTTTCGCCTGAACAACATGCAGGCGCTGAAATGCAGGGGATTTGAAAGCTGAAGTGCTGATGCCGGGCGCTTTTCATCTGCCGCAAACATACTTTGCGATAAGGGTGCATCAGGCTGAATTTCTGCTCTCACAAGTCAGGGGTCTTATCGGGGTCTCGTCGATCTGGTGGGACGGTCGGCGATCGCTTGGGTCATCGCGGTTATCAGCCCGGTACTTGGGAATGAGCGAGATTTATGAAATTTGCCCAAGAATAGCCATCTGAACATCAGCCCGCACACACGCTCACACACACACTGTACCCCCCCACCCCCGCCACACACACAGGCACCCAGCCCGTCTTACCTCCACGCTGAAACCCTGCTCTTCTCCATACACGGCACATAAAATCCACGTCAGGATCTGCAAGCATAAGACTCCCGGACCAAAGCAATTCAAGCGTCTTCTGCTTTGCAAGGGCAGTAAAAGCATACTGACCCGTTATTTCACTTCGCAAGTCTCAGATACCGAACCGGTGTGGAATAATCCCCCCCAGTGTTTCAGATGGAGAAAAACATCGCTGAGGAGGACGTGGCCAGCAGCCCGCGATGATCAATGCGCCGAGATGGAGGAAGAAACAGGTCCAGGGGATGCGATGCACATGAGTCGGCGGCGCCTTAAAGCCCTTTGCTTCTTTTCATGGGCGGCCTGGTCTGTACGGGCGCTTTGCGAAGGGGATCAGTCACATTTAGGAGCTGGGCTCCCCTCCTCGGTGCTGTAGCTGGTCGTTTTCAATCACACCTCCCGGCACAGCGCCTGCGCCTTCTGCTCACAGAGCCCCCCTCCCTCCTGCATGTTATACCGTCCCCTGCTGGACCACAAGCGGCTCACGTCACTGGATCACTGGCCGGGATTGGGGGGGGGGGTTGGTACACATAATGACAGGATAACGACAGGCGCACATATGCTCACAACAATCTGATACATGATTCCGGCTGATGTAAGGTGGCGCTTGAGCTATCTATAGATACCATCCTTGCATCAACAGCGTAACATAAAAGGATCCATCATCGTTATTATTACTGCTATAAATACTGGTGACGACAACAATAATAACATTAATAAATAATCTATTATTAAGAATAATACGTGTATTGTTGCTGCTGTTCTTGTTTATATTGTCACCGGTGTTATTTTCGTTACATTTTATCTGAGCACAAGAGCAAAGCCTTGTTATTCTTTCAAAAACCTGGGAGTTAATAGTGCACATTGTCAACACTAGAGGGCAGTAGTGGTAAACATCCCGGAGATGATTAAAAAGTGCAATCATGTTAATTTACATTTTAAACTTTGTATAATGCACCCATGTTCATAAATACATTTTAAAATATAATGTGAAAGTACCGAACATAAGGTCCTGACCTTTGTAAATTCCTTTTAGCAGCGCGGTGCAAACATGACACCAGAGAATTTTGTAATATGTAATTTTTTTCAAGGCTTTGATACATAGTCAGTAAGTACATTTATGTAAGAGGGGAGACAGTTTGTTTTCAGAAATATTTTCCAGAAATTGTTAATACATTCTTGTCAGCGAAAATGCAGCAGCAGTATTATTAATAATAGCCTTAGAAAAATTTTCTGGTCCAAAATGAGTCACATTTATTTACAGGTTAATATCTTACGGTAACATCTTAGGATGAATCAAATAACATTTCATTCATCTGCTTCTTCATCTGCCACTTCTCACACTATATGTTGGGAGTTCTGCATGTATGATGGCGTACGTTGTCCTTTAGCAGCTGGGAAACTGGGAAAGGGGCTCGAAATGTCTGTATCATTAGGGGATGGTTCAGAGACTGACCGATATCTGTAATGCAAACAGTGACATTGGTGAACATGCATTATGGAGTGTAAATATTTTGGGAACAATCTGAACTAAAATATTTATCCTTATAAATGAATTCAAATACTGGAATGAGCAGGCAGCTACCCGCGGGTGACGTGGCCTGTGGCTTAGTCAGCATGTGCGATGGCATCATATCTAACACACACACATACAGACACACACAGATACAGTCACACAGAGATGCAGACAAACACAGATACAGACACACACAGATACAGTGACATGCAGATACAGTCACACAGAGATGCAGACAAACACATATACAGACACACACAGATACAGAGATGCAGACAAACACAGATACAGACACACACAGATACAGTCACACAGAGATGCAGACAAACACAGATACAGACACACACAGATACAGTCACAAACAGATACAGTCACACAGAAATGCAAACACAGATACAGACACACACAGATACAGTCACAAACAGATACAGTCTCTGAGATACAGACAAACACAGAGTCACACACAGATATAGTGACATGCAGATACAGTCAAACAGAGATGCCGACAAACACAGATACAGACAGACACAGATACAGTGACATGCAGATACAGTCACACAGATACAGTCACACACAGATAGTGACATGCAAATAGTCACACAGATACAGTCACACAGAGATGCAAACACAAATATAGACACGCACAGGTACAGTGACGTGCAGATACAGTCACACACAGATACATACAAAGATACAGTCACACAGAGATGCAGACACACACAGATACAGTGACACGCAGATACATGCACAGATACGGTCACACACACATGCAGATACACACATATACAGACATACACTAGTGTTGTAGTCAAGACCGCCTAAACCGAGACCAAGACA